AGAGTCAACCTCTTCGAGGCAGGAGCATTCTGGCATCTTGCACAGAGAAAACAGAACACAATTTGCCCTGGGGCCCAGTTGATGATTCCTGGACTGTGGGGTCGGTATCCAGGGCTGGCACCTCCACGGTTCTGTTATCTTGGTCTCCACTATAAACACCAGGCCCCATGAGAGCTGCTGGGCTGAGGCTCATTTAAAGAAGCTTCCTGCGGAATGATGAGGGAAAAGGCAGGTCTGTAAATCCCCGCCTGCGCCCGCCGAGGGTTCCAAGAGCAGGAGCAGCTCCAGGCTCCAGCTGGCTGTCCCCCTTGCCCTCCTTCTTGCATTCGCAGGCACTTCCTCTAAGACTGCTGCCCTGGGAGGGTTTCTTGCAAACCCACTAGTTCTGAAGAAAGACAGAGAAAACATCCACTTAAGGCTGCCCAGATGACAGCATGTCTCTAAAAATATTTAAGTCTCCTAGTTTTCGAGTGATCGAAGGCCCCACAGCCTTCAGCACTGGCGTCATTTAGAGGTCATGGTGAAAGGACTGGCTCCCTCCTTGCCCCCATTTAAGCAGAAGCTGCGAGAAAGCTCCCAAAGCCTTGGGTCATGTCTCTAACAGGCACGGGTGAGTGGGAAGTTCAGCCTCATAGAAGGCCCCTTGCTGGTGCGGTTCATGAGGACGATAAACTTGCAAAGCTGAGATGCGCCCATCACGGTGAGCAATTCTCTCTATTGCTTCTCTTCTGGGGAATGAACAGGCTTCATATGCTTTTCCCTGAGGCCAGGTTTCTTACCCAAACCTGTCCCTGGAGTCTTTGTTCTGAAATAAGAAAGGAGTTTTGAGTCAGCAGGAGAGCCACTCTTCACTGTGAATTACACAGCAACTCCTTGTGGAGCTGCCCGTACCCTTCCCCCGGGTACACATCAATCAATCGAAATATTTCTCAAATATCTACCCCATACCCAGAACTGGGCATTTAGGTACGTGGTTCAAGTTTCAGATTCTTCCAGCAGATGGTTTGTATGGGTAAGAAAAAGGATTGGAGGTCAGGTAGGCAGCGGAGCAATTCCCAACTCTGCCTTTTTAAAAGCGGTTTCAGTTGCGCATCCTTGGAATTGATTCTGGGCAGCTGTTAATTGCAAAACTCACTGCCAATTATCGATAGCTAAAGTGGCATTGGAGAGCTTCTCATGGTAAAAATAGGGGCAGGTAATAGATGAGAAAATAGCTTTACATTTGAGAAGAGAGGATGGGAACATATTGTCTCAATCTTGCTGTGTTCGAGGTTTCCTTTGTCAGCCTGGGTTCTCTCCCAGGGCTGGCCAGCAAAGTCTACTTAGTGACCTCCAGCAAATAGCCCATCAGCCAGCTACTTAAGATTAGAGCAAAACTTTGTCTTGGCAGCAAGAACAGAGGGGATCCTGCTGAGTTGAGGGGATCCTGCTGAGTTCAGGGCATCCTGGTTCTCACTAGGCTCAGTCACATTAAACAGCCAATACCACTTTTAGGAAAACCCGTGTTGAATGTTAAATGTACTTTTGCCTCATTTGGGGGGTTATGATTGTCCAATTCAGCTGGTAGTTTGTGCACCAACCTTCAAATCGACAAACGATGGTTATTCAAGGACGTTTCTTGAAGCCTAGATGGTACATGTTTACCTTAAAAAGCAAAACCAAAAAACAGAAACAGGAAAAAGTGCCCTGGTGAGTAAAACCAAAAGCATGTGGTAGACAGACACAATGCAGGCCTGAGTGTTTTGAACAATGCTCATGGCCCCAGCCTTGACACTGGGGAAACTGGGAACGTGGTCACAGACTTCCTATGTCAAGTGTTTCCCTGGATTTCCTGGAATCCAACTCGAAGTGCCACTTCCCCTGGTGCCACCAAGGAGTTAAGCTTTGGTTCTGTTCTCCCAGTGACTAAGAATGCTCTGTGTGGCTCTGAGATCATCCAGAAAGAAACTGACAGCCGGCGTGGGAAGTGTGTGAGCTTTCAGTGCTCTTGAAATGCCTTTGATGGGCATGGTGAGAGAGCAAAAGGCTTATTGCCACCTAGTGCCCCTGATTGTGTAATTTCGTCGTGAGCTCTTGTTTCTTCTTTTGAATTTTGCATAATTTCAAATGAAGATCTCCAACTCCTTGGGGAGCTTGATTCTGTGATGTGTGAGTTATTCTATGGAGCTATTCTATATTTTAGACAGCAAACATATCCCACCACTTGGAAATATCGCCCATTTTGATTGAAAACAAAGTAGAATCAATTGACCTGACCAAATCACACGTGTTGGGTGTGAGGGAGGGAGACTGGGTCTTCCCACTCCTGATGTTTTCTTTCTTCTGAAAGGAGTCCAAACACTCCTGGCTTCTCTCCGCCTGCCCCCTCTTCCCTGAGAAGGAGGAGTGGTTTAATATGACTGGTGAGTTTGGAAGGAGGAACTGCGCCTTATATCATCCTCTCTTCTTTTCTTCTTGGGAGCAAGCTTCGCTCCCGCGGGGTGGGAAGAGGAGGCCCGTTCCAGCTCAGCTGCCTGTCACCAAGCCGCCAAGTCTGCCTAATTCTGAAGTTGAGTATCGGGAAGCTCGTTTGTCTGATGATATAAGCCACGTTCTCTAATATCAGCTTTATCAGTAGAAAAGGTTATTTTTGGTCCTCGTCTAGCTTGCTGCTATCTTCTGATTCAATTCAAAATTCACAGAGAAGGGAGCAGACTGCTATTTTGGGGCCTCCTCAAAGACACCAACGTATTTACCGGAAGATTTCCTGTGATTAGGAAAATGCCAGTGTTGGGGTAAGGTCCGACTTCTAGATCCACATCGTCACTTTCTTACAGAACACCAGATTCCTTAGCTGTCAGCTGAGTAAAGAGAGTTCATGGGTGTTCCTTGCAGCTAAAATGCATCCATTCAAAAGTTATCTATTGAATCCTTACTATGTGCCAGGGAACACATAGGTAATCAAGAGAAACACAGTCTTGGGCCGGGCGCGGTGGCTCACACCTGTAATCCCAGCACTTTGGGAGGCCGAGCTGGTTGGTCACTTGAGGTCAGGAGTTTGAGACCAGCCTGGCCAACATAGTGAAACCCCATCTCTACCAAAAATACAAAATATCAGCTGGGCGGGGTGGCAGATACCTGTGGTCCCAGCTACTCGGGAAGCGGAGGAACAAGAATCACTTGAACCCAGGAGGTGGAGGTTGCAGTGAGCCAAGATCACACCACTGCACTCCAGCCTGGGCGACAGTAGTGAAACTCTGTTTCAAAGCAACAAAAAAAAAAAAAAAAAAAAAAAAAAAAAAGAAAGAAAGAAAGAAAAAAAAGAGAGGGAGACACACTCTCTGCTGTCACACAGTTTATAATTTAACTAGGGTGTATCAATTTAAAAGTTTAATGTTTCAAGTGAAAGAAAACAACCTCAAATAGGCTTGAGTAATACAGGAATTTATTGTCTCACTGGAGATCCAGGCACAATTTGATCCAAGATTCAAACGGCATGGATCCATTTCTTGGCTCTGCTTCCTCTGAGTTGGATTCATTCTTTAGCCACCACATGTTGGAACCCCTCTCTCCTGGCAGCTTCAAGCTTTCCACGACGGCTGCAGCAGATCTAAGACATACCATTTACCAGGCTGACAAGAGTCCAAGTTCCAGCAATCCCTGGGGGTCCATCCTGAGAAGGCCATCTCAGGTTATAGACCAGCGTAAATCGGGAGCTCACAGGACAGAAGACGCTGGCTGGCTCACACCCAGTGGGGCCCACCCCCTGATATGGGAGACTTGGGCTCTTTCCAATTCCAAAAATTTGGGCACCTATTTGGAAGGGAGAAAGGGCCACAACCGATAACTGTTTATGATAGAAGGAAAAACAATAAATAAGCTTATACTTCTGCTCTGAGGGAATCATTCAGCCTGCAGAAAATGGAGACATCTCATTACTACCTGGAGAGTGAAACACAGGCCTGGGGATCCAGAGATGTATCTGGATTCCAAATTCTGTGTGGGTCCCTATACACAGCTGACCCTCGGGGACATTGTAGAGGTTGATACATGGTAGACTTTGCTCCTTGATCTGTCCCTTCAGTAGTTACCCTTAGGTTGTATTCTGCTGTGTGACCGCTTTTCCCTTACTTACATATTTATTCGTTTGAGATGGAGTCTCACTCTGTCACCCAGGCTAAAGGGCAATAGTGCAATCTTGGCTCACTGCCACCTCTGCCTCCTGGATTCAAATGATTCTCCTGCCTCAGCCTCCCGAGTAGCTGGGATTACAGGTGCATGCCACCATACCTGGCTAATTTTTGTATTTTTGGTAGAGATGGGGTTTCACCATGTTGGCCAGGCTGGTCTCGAACTCCTGGCCTCAAGTGATCTGCCCGCCTCGGCCTCCCAAAGGGCTGGGATTACAGGCATGAGCCACCACAGAGGATAGTATGTGCCTGAGAGAGATGCTAAAAGGATGACTGAGATGATATTCACAAAGTACGTGGTGCAAGTCACCAAATAAACCTAAGCTGTCTGTTGGTGTGTGTTCATTATTCTTTCAGATTTAAGGACATTCAGCTGACGGTTTAGGGACTAAACATTAACCACAGCGGGACAAGTCAACACAGCATGAGCTGTGAGCCATGAAGATGCACAGGCCTTCGGTGTTCTGAGTCCACAGACCTGTGTGAAAAACATATAACCAAAATAGATTGAAAATGGACAGAAATGCCGTCAAACATGCAGGGTAGAGAGAGTGCTCCAGTTAAGACCTCGGCCAGTTCTTTTTTTCTTTTTTTTTTCGAGACAGAGTCTTGCCCTGCTGCCCAGGCTGGAGTCCAATGGCATGATCTCGGCTCACTGCAACCTCCTCCTCCTGGGTTCAAGCGATTCTTATGCCTCAGCCTCCTGAGTAGCTGGGATTATAAACACATGCCACCACGGCTGGCTAAGTTTTTGTATTTTTAGTAGAGATGGAGTTTCACCATGTTGGCCATGCTGGTCTTGAACTCCTGACCTTGTGATCTGCCCACCTTGGCATCCCAAAATGCTGGAATTACAGGCGTGAGCCACCACACCCGGCCCTTGGCCAGTTCTTAAGAGGCATGAGTACTTGCTAAGCAAGTTGAAGTGCCAGTGGTGCCTGAACAGTCCTTTATTTCTTCATTCAGCAAACATTTTTTGGGGTATCTTCTATACAAGAAGCTATAATAAAAACAGACAATCAGTTATGAGGCAGGCACTTAAATCCTTCTTAGAGGCCAGGCGCGGTGGCTCAAGCCTGTAATCCCAGCACTTTGGGAGGCCGAGGCGGTCGGATCACGAGGTCAGGAGATCGAGACCATCCTGGCTAACAGGGTGAAACCCTGTCTCTACTAAAAATGCAAAAAATTAGCTGGGCGTAGTGGCATGCGCCTATAGTTCCAGCTACTTGGGAGGCTGAAGCAGGAGAATGGCATGAACCTGGGAGGTGGAGCTTGCAGTGAGCCGAGATGGCGCCACTGCACTCCAGCCTGGGCGACTGAGTGAGACTCCATCTCAAAAAAAAAAAAAATCCTTCTTAGAATAAAGAAGGGACCTCCCTTTATAAATAGGTAAATTATTATAAAAGTTATATGCAAAGCTAAAATGAACTAAAGATCTATTATATAAGAGACAGAAAAGAGAAAACTAGTTTCAGTATTTGGGTGGAGGCTGGAGAAGAAGTGGGCTATACCTGGGATGGAATGAACCGACTTTGTGTTAAGTCATAAACAAAGATATAGGGGTAAATGGAGAGATGGCAATCAATTATATGAAGTCTTGTTTGGTTGCTGAAAGAAATGTGACCCAGTCCTCTGAATGCCCTACAGCAGCAGTTTATGTGCAACTTGCCTACTGCTCTTATTCTAACTTGTATCACAGTGGGTTATTTATTCATTCAATTATTTGGTTACTCATTGAACATTGATGCAAGGCTTGATATGTGCTAAGTATTGTGCCAAGGGCCAGTATACAAAATAGAATGAGACATGGTTTCTGTAGCTCAGTCTAGGAGGGTAGGAGGCATAAAAAACATAATTATAGCCTGAGCACAGTGGCTTCTACACTTTGGGAGGTCGAGGTGGGAGGATTACTTGAGGACAGGAGTTGGAAATTGTGGTACTCTATGATTGTGCCATTGCATTCTAGCCTGAGTGACACAATAAGACCTTGTCTCTAAAAGAAAAAATATATATAATCTAACATGAGAGGTGCTATAATAGAAATACGCCCTGAGTGCTTGGAGGTGAAGTCTTCCCAAAGGAAGTGATATTTGAGTGGATCTTGACAATAACAGGAGTTTCCTAGGCTGAATTTCCAAAGTAGCTGGAAAGCCCCTGAAAGAGGAGCCAGAATGGTGTGTGAGGAAATGCTGAGTGGTTTGGTATATGGGGATCTTTGGGTATGTAGGGAGAGTGTCAGCAGAGGAGGCTGAAAACGTAAGTGGGCTAAAAGGTAAGTCACATAGAGCTTCACAGATCTTGCTATGGGCTTTGAACTGTGTTGACAAAAGGATTTGTTGAAGAATTTTAGGTAAATGATTGGCAAGATCAAATCTGGGCTTTAGAAAGACGTTCTGGCAGCAGTCTGAAGGAAGAGTAGTAGTGGGGAAGGACTGGAGGCCAAGAAATCAACAGGGAGGCTATTTCACTAATCTAGGTGAAAAGTGGTAACATCTTGATGATTGAAAAAGAGGGAACAGAATGGGTTCAAGGAAGAACTAAGAGATTAAATCAACAAGGCTTGGTTATTGGTTGGAAGGAAGATGATGTAGGGAAAGAAGGCATTAAGAATGACTTGGGGCTGGGTGTGGCAGCTCACGCCTGTAATCCCAACACTTTTGGAGGCTGAGGTGGGCGGGTCCTTTGATCCCAGGAATCCAGGCCAACCTGGGAAACATGGCTGAAACCTCATTTCTACAAAAAAAAAAAAAAAAAGCAAAAAATTAGCCAGGCTTGGTGGCACATGCCTGGAGTCCCAGATACACAGGAGGCTGAGGTGGGAGGATCACCTGAGCCCAGGAGGTTGATGCTGTGGTGCACAATGATTGAGCCACTGCACTCCAGCCTGGGTGGCAGAGTGAGACCCTGTCTCAAATAAATAAATAAAAGAATGACTTAGAAGCCAGTAGCCCATGCAGCTGAGGAAACAAAGGTGTCATTAACCACAGTAGGGTATAGAAGAACAGGAGGAAAGATAAAGACAGGATAACGACATGCTGTGTTTAAGATGCCCGCACAACATTCAAGTGGACAAGCCCCACTGGCAGTTGGAAATCTCTGTCTAGAGTTAATGAGAGAGCTGGAGGCTAGAGACTGAGCTGGGAATAAATAGGTGCCAAGGCTACGGACATAAAGGGCATATACCCACCAAGTACAGCTGGAAAGTGAGAAGATAAGAGACACCAGCACAGACCCTACAGAGCAGTAATATAAATGGATTGATCAAAGGGGAGCCAGAAAAGGAAAGTAAAAAGAGGTGTCCAGAGAACAGCCAGGAGAACTGGCAGAGACCAACATCTTAGAAGGCACAGGAGACAAGAGAAGGAGGAAGCAGTCAAGTAGGTCAGAGCTGCTGAGAATTCTAGTGTAGCATTTGTGACATTTCCCCATTAAAGAGCAAAGCCTGTGACAGTAGGAACTCCTGGCACAGTACTTTGTATAAAGCAGGCAGTGTCTGTGCCATGATCTATAGATAGACATATAGATGTACCAATTTGGAGACTGCTAGTAACTGCTAGATGCCCAGAGACCTCAAATCTGGAAACATCGCAATTTTGAAGTGTTATTTTAGGGTCAAATTAGCAATAAAAACCGTACAATATTAAAAGAGATTCTACCTTTCCTCAAATTCCATTAAAAATTACTACTACCACCTTGTGTATTTCTTTATATTTGGTCTTCAGGAGAAGATACATGGTCAGCAATATAAAATGAGGAAGCTGGGGTAATATAATTTATCAGAACAGAGGAGTTCAGTTGCAGTTGCTGGAACACAGAAATTGGTGTCAATGTGTTTGGCCTTTACGAAAGTCTTTCTGAGGGCAACATCATGGTATTTTAGGAACTAAGCAATTTCTTCCTCCTCTTCCTCCCCCTCCCCCTTCCCCTCCTCCTTCCCCCTTTCCTCCTCCTCCTCTTCCTTCTTCTTCCTCCTCCTCCTCCTCTTTCTTATTCCTCATTCTGTTGCCCAGGCTGGAGTGCAGTGACTGTGGCTCACTGCAACCTCTGCCTCCCAGGTTCAAGCAATTCTCATGCCTTAGCCTCCCGAGTAGCTGGGACTAGAGGCACATGCCACCACGCCGCTAGTTTTTTGTATTTTTTAGTAGAGACAGGGTTTCACCGTGTTAGCCAGGATGGTCTCGATCTCCTGACCTCGTGATCCGCCTGTCTCGGCCTCCCAAAGTGCTGGGATTACAGGCTTGAGCCACCGCGCCCGGCCAATTTTTTGTATTTTTAGTAGAGATGGGTTTTTGCTATGTTGGCCAGGCTAGTCTCGAACTCCTGACCTCAAGTGATTCATCTGCCTCGGCCCCCCAAAGTGCTGGGATTACAGGCGTAAGCCACTGCACCCAGCCAGCAATGTCTTCTTCAAATGTCATACAATGTTACAGTTCTTTTTCATTTGCCCATTCTTTCAGTGTTGAGCACCTCATATGTTCGAGACACTGTGCTAGGGGCAAAAGACATCTTTCCATCCCTCAAGGAGCTCACAGTTCAGTGGGGGACATAGACAGGGGAATACAATGGAAATGTATTGAGAAGTGCTGTGCCAGAGGTAAGCACAGTGTGCAAATGAAGACAGCGAAAGACAACCTAACTCAGAGGGCAGCAAATGAGGGCAGTGGTGTCAAGTCTTTCCAGAAGAGACAATGCCTGCCAGGTGTTACAGGAGGGACAAGCTTCCAGATCAAAGAGACAACAACTGTGAGAAAAAAAAAAAAAAAAATTCAATATGACTGAACACAGAATACAAGGAGGGGAAGAGTGAGAGATGAGTCGGGTGGGCAGGTACCTCATCAGACCCCAGAAGCCCTTCTAAGGATTTGGAGCTTGAGCCTAAAAGCAATGAGGAGATGCTGAATGATTATGTTAGAGGACTTCAAAGGAAGTCCTTTGCTTCTCATATTTTTCTTATTTCCCATTCTCTCTCTCTCTCTCTTTCTTTTCTTCCCTTCCTTCGTTCCTTCCCTTCTTCTTCTTTTCTTTCTTTTCTTTCTTTCTCTCTCTCTTTCTTTCTTTCTTTCTTTCTTTCTTTCTCTCTCTCTCTTTCTCTCTTTCTCTCTTTTTTTCTTTTGAAATTGCAGCTGATCTGGTCTATACCTAAAGAGAATAAGTGCAAGGGATTTATTTACAGTATGTCCATGGTTTGGTGGAGAAAAAGATGGAGCTGATCCCTGAAACCTGACTTTTGATGGTAGTAAGTAACAAAACGAGAGGATCCCAGGAATAATTCCTATCTCCCACAGACTTTTCTTCCGTCTGAATCTGGAGATGCCTGTGTTCGATTTTAATGAGGAGGCTGTTACCTCCAAGGTGTGGACAGGAACCTTTTTTTTCTGGCCAAACAAGCAAAGAAAGGAATCTTAATTACAAAGAGGTCTACACTCTTGCTGCTTGAAACTGGGTCCCTGGACCAGTAGAATCAGCATCCCCTGGGAACTGGTTGTACAGACAGAAATCGGAAGCTCCACCCCAAACATACTGAATCCAAAACTGCGTTTTAAACAAGATGCCTGGGTGATTCCATGCACATTCAAGTTTGAAAAGCCCTGATCTACAAGATAGGAAAACTGCCTAGTTGGTAAAACTTAGGGCACTGTGTTGCACTCTGTGTTTTGTTTTGCATGACTGATTGATGAGTAATCAGTTTGTCAGCCTCTATGATTACTAATATGTGTCCAAAAGCAAACTCAACCAGAGGCTAAACCCTTTCTACTCTACTGTACATTTCTAAGAAATCTCCCCAGAGCCCACGATGTTGTGATCCATTTAAATACAAGACTTGCTCTCTGGCTGATGAATAAAAGAATCATTCTTTTTTTTTTTATGTACATAACGTAAATTTACCATTTTAACCATTTTTAAGTGTACCGTTCAGTGGCATTAAAGACATTCACACTGTTGTGCATCCATCACTACATCATCTCTAGTGTTTTCATCTTCCCAAACGGAAACTCTGTA